AAGCAAAATCTTTAGAATAATTTATTGCTTAGCTATTACATGTAATAATCAATTATTTGAAAGACATCAAGAACAAAGTTTTAACTTAAAAAAAACAAGTCAAGTAATGATGGCAACTCTTAAGTTTTCAAAAACTTATTCATCAAGGCCAAAACAAATATAAATTGATATGGTATATCTTAAACCTCATATTGGAAAAGAAAAGACTTATCATTGTCAAAAAGGTTTGTACCTATATTATAGAGAATCCAAATATATTACTCAATATTCTTCAAAGTAATAACACAATCACAAAATGAAGAGCATGGTTGCCAAAGAGGACAATGTATCCAAAAATGAATCTCTCCAGTTATAATATAGACTATGTAACTAGAATCTTACGCAATTCCTAGTAAAGGTCATATTATTTCATTGGATCTTTCATCTTGTTTTACAATATAAGTTTGTTTAGGATCAAAAAATCACAAAGTCTTATCCTTGTTGGATTTAGAAGCCTCAATGTGTTTTATAAACAAAAACTTTGTTAAAAAATAAGATATATGCTTAGTTAAAAAAATCAAATCTATGCATGTAGAAGTAATAGATAATTATTTATTATCTTTTCAAGATGTTACATATGAAACTATTCCTATAAAAGTAGCAATTAGTGGTCATAATAGTTTAATAATATTTAATGTCATTAAATCTCTTTTTAATCCTATTATTTTAAGATTATCATGGTTAAAAAGATATAATCCTTAGGTAGACTAGATTTCCTGCAACCTTGATTTTTTCATAGTTTAGTCTAAGATTTTGCTAGGCAAGTAAAAATCCATAAGATCGATACATCCAAACTATTATTGATAGGTGCAAGAACTTTCATGCATGCTACAAAAAAAAGATCAACTTTTATTAAATATGCCACATCTATTATTAATAGAAAAAAATTTTCAAGTGGCATTTCAAGGCAATACTAAGATTATCAAGACATCTTTTCTTAAATTTGCATGATTCTATATTTATAGTAATAGATTATTTTATCAAAATGACGTATTTTATAGCATGTACAAAATGTATCACAAGTAAAGAAATAATTAAGCTTTTTCTTGACAACATCTATCGCTATCATGGATTATTCAAAGATATTATATCAAATAGGAAGATTCAATTTTTATCAAGATTTTGGAAAATTCTTTTTAAGATTCTAAATATAGACATAAAGCTTTTTTCAACTTTTCATCTTTAAACTGATGGACAAACAAAATAAGTAAATAAAGTTCTAAAAGAGTATTTGAAGTGTACCATCAAGTATCATCAAGATGATTGGATAATTCTTTTGTCATTTGTAAATTTTGCATACAATAGTTTGGTACATTCTTCTATTCAATAAACACCTTTTTTGCCAATTATACTTGTCATCTATAACTTTATATTTTTGACTTTTCAAATATTGATAATCTTGTAGCAAGAGATTTAGCGAATCATTTGTCAGAGCTACATGCAACAATAAAGGTGTAGTTAAAAGAAGCTCAAGAACAACAAAAGATTAATGCAGATGCTTATTACAAGGAACAATCACAATTCATTGTGGGTGACAAGGTATAGCTACTTTGTTGCAATATCAAGAGTACTTATCTTTTTGACAAATTAGACTATCATAAGCTTAAATCTTTTCCTATTTGTAAACAATTCAATCTTATTGCTTATTGATTACATCTACCAAAGTCTATGAAGATTCATCCTATATTCCACGTATCTCTTTTCAAACCATATAAAAAAGTAAATATCTAGAAAATAAGACAAATGCCACTTCTTCCTATAAAAATACATAATAATCAAGAATATGAGATAAAATTATTTTTAGATTCAAAATAATGCTAAAATAGATTAGAATAGCTTGTTCATTGGCGCAGATATGATATTAATGAATGCACATGGAAATTAGCAAAGAATCTTCCAAATGTAATAAAGAAGGTTGAGGCTTTTCATTGAAAACATCCATCAAAATCAAGATGAAGAATAAAAAATCTTTGCTATAAAAGACACAAGATGTACAGAAGATTTATTCTACTTTCTACTCTTATTTATGACTTTTGTGTATTTTTGACACTAAGAAGATGGAGAATCAACAACTAGTAGGTTCAACTTAAGAGCTATCACTTACTGACTTATTGGATGAGACATTATGATTGTCATAACTTTCAAGTCAATGTAATCAAGATGAAGATCCTCAAGAACAACAAATCCTTCATCAAATAAATGGCAAGATATAATGTGTTTGGTACCATAACTTTGAAAGAGACTCCCAATGTTTGATATTTTTGTTAGAGACAAGAATAAGTTTTGAGGATGTTCGAAATATTTTATTTGAAGGAAATTACAAAGGCTTCAACAACAACCAAATAACAGGGTGGTCATCTTGCCTTGACATAGAACACTATCGATGGTTGAGCAGACCTATCAATCATCTTTGAAGAAAATAAAGATTAGAATACGTGAGAAATACAATTCATTGAATCTTAGATTTCTTCAACATATATTGACCGTTGCTCATGGAACTTGTCCTTAGAAAGAAGGATAATGTCACGGACATACATATTTATTCTATATTTTCCTATATGATTAAGTAGAAGTAAATAAAAGTAGATTTATTTCATAAATTTTTTTAATAAGCTTCTTAAAAGCTTCATACATGTTGCTTTGATTTTATATGTATTTGTAGTTGATTGGTAGGTTAGAAACTTGGTCAAGAAGTTAATTACATATTGATAGCTTGCAAAACAAGCTATTTATGTGGCATACATATAAAAAACTTTCTTTGCAAGTTAAGATACATGTCTTGCAAAATTAATATGTTTTGGAGGTCCTTTAAGATATTGCCATATAGCTCTTAGTTAAGAGTATATTTTGAGGCAAGAATAAAGCCTTCTTCATTCTTGTCAAAGTCTTTTTAGTCCTTAGTCTTGTTTCAAGACTTTATAGTCTTGTTGTCTTTGGCAATAGCCATTCTAGTTTAATACTATATCATCTTTGAATAATTTTTAGTCTTTTCGAGTGACACAAGAATATATTAACATTTTAGTTCTTTGAGGTTCATGTCCTTGATACCATATCACATATATCTAACTTAAAACTTACATGTTAAATTTATAAGACAAGTTTCTAACATGTACACAATATACCCAATTTGTAATATAAGTGGTTAAACATGCAATATGTAGCTAATTTGTTGGCCAAGTTGTCAATCCGCAAATCACTTATAAACAATTATATAATCTACCAAATTTTTAGGAAGTTTCTTAACAAGATATCAATAATTTAACTTAGTTCTACTTACTTCTATATAATTCTACTTATCTAAATAAATATATTAGTAAATATATGTATTTATTAGACATATTAACCTTCCTTAATCTAATGTATATAGGATTTATATAAAGTAAAGAAATAATTAATGAATCTTTCTTATATATATTATAAAATATTAATTATGTATTTATTAATTTTTATTATTTTATATAAAATTAAAATAATTATTTTTTAAAATAGTAGTTTATATATATATATATATAATAAAAAAATAAAAAATAAAAAAATTGTACTAATATTGATTTTGTCTAATAGTTTTTTACTAGCACAAAGTATATTTTACTTTTTATATACTATTGGCATTATTTGAATATTATTTTTTATGTAAATTTTCATTTTCATTCAACTTAAGGATTAATGTATATTTTTTTCAACATTATGGACTCTCTATTTATTCATACAACATACAAATCCTTTCACAAAAATCCTTTTAAGTTACTAATAATATCTAGATTTATGATAGCTTTCAAATTCTATGTAATTAATAATTATCCTTTGGTGGATATTCAAATATCCAAATATGCACTACTTATTTTTAACAATTTCAAAACACAAACCTCAATACAACTATAATTTTTGAATCTTCAAATTTTTAAATATATATATATTTTTTAAATATCCATATATATATATGATATATGATATATACATCTAAATATTTTTCCAGCTATTCAGAGTTTGTTTCTTTTAAAGGTTGATCAGGACTTCTTGAACTAATGCAAGAATTAAGGATGCATATTCATATCTTTAGTGGAAATGACAAGAAGTAAATGAAAAGAAATGTGATCAACCACCATGCTTGATCTGGTGCTATGGGGAATATATATATATATATATATATCTAAAGAATGTTCTACAATGATGAACTTTAGATGTAATGTGTTGGTTTATTTTACACAAAATCACTTCTCAGTGAGATACTCAAGCATACAGTGTAGGGTAGTGGATGATGTAGGAGAGCTTTGACATGGTAGGTTGAAGAAGAGAGCATCCATGAGTGTAGGGTAGTGGATGATGTAGGAGAGCTTTGACATGGTAGGTTGAAGAAGAGGGCATCCATGAGTGTAGGGTAGTGGATGATGTAGGAGAGCTTTGACATGGTAGGTTGAAGAAGAGGGCATCCATGAGTGTAGGGTAGTGGATGATGTAGGAGAGCTTTGACATGGTAGGTTGAAGAAGAGGGCATCCATGAGTGTAGGGTAGTGGATGATGTAGGAGAGCTTTGACATGGTAGGTTGAAGAAGAGGGCATCCATGAGATTGAAACGGTTGAGGTTCTTTGTGTGAGATGCCACATTTTGAGGCTGAATTCTAGTTAGGTGAGTATGTACCCACATCTAGGTAGGTGAAGGGCAGTGCAATTGAATTGTGCGAATATCGTTGTGAATTGAATAGTGCTCAAGAATACGGTATGTGTAAAAGAGGTGAAACTTTGTTAGTTGACTACCACGGGGCCAATGATAAACGGGACACAGTTTATACGATTGCACAGAAAATATAGTGTACTATGCACATGCCGAAAACATGATACATGACGGTCACAAGAGTACAGGTACCCAGAGTTGGATTACTATACATAAAACCCAATTTGATTATAAGAGGTAGAAGTCGCCAGTAACAAACAAAACAAACAAAGACACACACATATATATATATATATATATATATTCTTTTTCTTTTTCTTTTATTGTTTGCTAGATTAATCAAGTCAACATGGCGAAAAACTGATGGCATTTAAACTGATGGTAACCAGGTTAAAGAGAATTTTTATAACTGCGACCTCTCAAAATCCTGAATGAAATTTTCGCGCATACCCTACCACAGCTTGACTCCCATAAAATTTTCCGTTATCATTGAATGCATGCCCGTCAACCATTTCTGTATCTTCTGTATGAATGATGTCTATGTCTCTCATGTCTCGTTTCAAAACAGTGGCAAGACGTGAAATTGCTTCTGTTTGCTGCTGCAGTACCTGAAAATGGGCAAAGTAACCAAATTCCTTTGTAAGTCACGACGTTAAGATTGCAAACATGGATCGTGCATAATTGAAGGGCAATCGCCTTCACAGCAAAAAAAAAGAAATAGATGAAAGATGCTATCACCAATTTTTAGATCACATTCAGATTCACCTATATGGTCAACGACAATACATTCTAATTGCACAACTATCCGACGAGTGATGCAGGCAGTCCAAGAGATATCAGTTTGCTAAACATAGATATGAGAGTCAAATAAAGTCATACCTTGTGCATCTCAGTGAGGCTTTGATTATCAATCTTTCCAGGGCCTAAAAGCACCGATTGTGATCCACCTCCCAAACCAACTTGCATACGCGATACAGAAAGCAGTGATTCCACTCTTCGGGGCAAAACTGCATTCGCTCCTTGAAGCTGCACTCAAAATAAAAGTCCCCCAAGCTTAGTTTTCTACGCAATAATAGCTATAAAAAGAGTAGGAAAAACCTTCAATCTTCACAATTACCTGTTGAGTTAGTCCCCTCAAGTGATCACCCAACTTGGCCTCTCCTCGAGTCAGTGCCATATGTAAACCTTTGCCTTCCAGAGCTTCAACCATTCTCATGATCTGAACATGCAAAAGTCAAACTGCATCAAAAACTTGCAGGGCAAAGAATACTTGAAATGTAACAACCAGAAAAACTTATAGGATTGCAGCTCCGCAGTTTTCTGCTCAATCAAATCAAGAGTGTGCAGCCCAAACTCACTAATTTCTTAATTAAATATGACCATCGAGTCTATCATTTGACTCATTTGGAGTAGTTCCTGTAGTGTAACAGTCATAAACAAATAAAATTTAACATCTTACTCGAAAACATAGAAAAGGGATTCACTACAAGTACTCAAATTCAAAAACCATATGAAGAGAAAGGACTGCCTTAAGTAGGCGCCGTTGCAACTCCTGCTCTTTTTGACGAAGCCGCTGGATCCAAGGTAGAGTATCTGTTTCAAAATGGCGATGGAGCTGTAGAAAGCCACCAACAAGACGGTTGATAAGACAAAAGAGCACAATACCTGACAGTACCATGTGAGACTAACTTACACTGTTCTGGTTCACCAATAATCAACGAGAACTTCAAAAAAAACAGACGCACACTGTTAACCAAACTAAAACTTAAAAGCTCAAACTATCGTTCAAAAGCATTTGTTGATAACGTAGAAATAATCTCACTACAAATATAATTTCCAGGTGGCAAGGTAACTCACGAGTTTAACATTAGACTCTGTTGCTTGAAGGCGTTGTACATCAGCTGTCATTGCCTCATCCTGGAGCTGCAACGTGATGACGAAATTACTAGGTTGATATTGATTCCTAGTATCTCCATGGTACTCCAACAAACAAAAACCTCTCGCAGAGAAGCCGCCGACACTATAACTGAAATTTATAGGAAATTCTGAAGGTTGAAATTGGTTCGAAATTTCTAAAACCTCAAGCTAGCAATGTCAAGTGATAACCAGATTAACGTTTCATGTAGGAATACGCATAAAAAAACATAATAGCGTTGAGTCATTTTTATATATAGAAAGCATTATCACAGTTGCTGGATATGATGAATTCAATACAAAACAAGTGAAAAGTTTACACCAAGCTTTTCCCAGTGTAAAAATGTCATCATTATTGCACCAAGGTTCAGGTAAGAGTTTGCCTGTGAGTTTACCAATCATTGCAACAAAAAATTCTTGAGGGTACAATGAAAGAGAACTCAAAAGATCCACAGGCGAAATGAGCTTCAATGCTACTACTAATCCTGCGCTTCACGTACATTTACACGTTACGAGAACAAAGCAGGTTTTTACCCATAATCATCTAGGAACGTCTAAAGTGAAGTGAGTTAAATTAACCATGATCTTAGAAGATGAGGTTTAGAAGTTTACACATACCTTCATACGTCTTGAAAGATCTTTGAAGCCATGCACCAATTCCGGCCACAATCGTTCTCTGTCCATGCTGTCCAAACCTTCTAATTTGTTCATCGCTTCTGCCCACAGAATCTACATAAGTTACCACATCCACGATAAATCTCCATTGCATTTCATGTCATTAAGTAAAATGCCAGCATAGACGCACAGAGTCAATGAATCGTCCACAAGGCAAAAGAATCAAGAAAAATTTACGTTAAATGAATACAAATCGAACGGTAATCTGTCAGACATAATTCTTACATCTGATACTCCAACAGGTTTGAAGCGTGCTGCCGGATCAGTAATGCTGAGCAGCAAATACTGTATCAGCCAAAAACAATATGTGCAAAACCACATGACATCAGTTAATGCTCTGGCTGTTGTTGGCAATAAAATTTCATAAAGACCACCAAAGATATCATTACTATTCGAAAGAATGACAGCCTGCGGCTATTACACTACATGCAATGCGCATGAAGTAAATGCACAAACCTTAAAACCCTTTTGAGGATTCCCTATGTCGTCCCTGTAAGCATCGACAATGGCCTGTAAAGTCAACCCCCCCCCCCCCAAAAAAAAAGGAAAGAAATGAAATTAAAAAAAACACAAGCAAAGAAAGCATTAGTTCCTACACCAGTCAAATAAATCAATGCAAAAAAGCAAAAAACAAAAAAACAAAACAAAACCAAACAAAACTTTTAACATAAAAAGGTAACATGAACAAAGAGAAATGGAAAACAGTATTTCAAGAACACTCACCTGAATTTCTCTGTCAGGCAAGGTCGCAACTACTGGCGCTACTGGAGCCATCTGAGTACTTATACTACTATTGAACATGTTCGTTTGCTGTGATGGTTGGGATTGAAACATATTTGATTGCTGCTGGCCAAACAATCCACCTGAAGCCTGGTTGAACGGTGATGCTTGCTGTTGCTGTCCTCCAAACAAGGGGCTCTGTCCAGCTTGTCCAAATGCAGATGTTTGTCCAAAGGCTGGTGTCGACTGAGGCTGCCCGAAAGGCGATGGAGATTGTCCGAACAAAGACGTTCCCTGTTGCTGACCTGAGGATCATATCAATCTTCAGTCTGCGGGATAAAAACTGCAACAACTCAACAAATCGAAATTCTAAGTTTTACGCAAAGTATTGATGAATGCAACAGAGTATATCACTTCATCCAACTCAAATCCAACAAAGTGTGGTCGAGGGAGCCTTCAAACACAATGGAGAGTACTGCTGAAGTGTATTATTGAGGTTGTAACCAGGGAGATGAACTGGACTGCATTGCGATCCCAATTTCACCAAAGACAGGATACATGACTTAGCCAGACAAAGATGTATTCAGAATGACAAGGTAGGGTCGTACCTGATGCTCCAAATGCAGGGATGGAAGGAGTAGAACTCCCAAATAGACCTCCACCGCTACTTGCACCAAATGCAGGGGTCGAAGGAGTAGTACTGCCGAAGAGACCTCCACCACTACTTGCACCAAACGCAGGGGTCGAAGGAGTAGTACTGCCGAAGAGACCTCCACCAAACGCAGGTGTCGATGATCCGAACAAACCCCCTCCACCTCCAAAAACCGACCTGAGTGACAACAGAGCTCAATGTCAAACGGTTGACCCACACGATAGCTCATTGAAGTTCCATGAATAATGTAAAGTTGGTGATACTTGTGCACGTACAAAATGTTCAATTTTTCCGCAACAGCAGTACAGTATCCTAAAACCGTGCGCCCAAGAGCTCCTACACCTCTCGTCTCCGAACCAGGTCAGACAACACCGGTAACTTACGTTCGGGTTTGATTTGGGAGTTCCTAATCTCCTATAAAATAATTACACGTCATTCTCATGACTGATTGACGCCTGGAATATGTGGCAAAACAAAACTATTGACAATTGAAATAGATTTGAAGTGAACTGTCCTACGACCCGACAACTTATACCGGCGGTCGAACACTTGAACTGGCTATTCAAGATTCAAAGGTTCAGATACTTATCGATGCCAACATCGGGCATTGAATGAAAGGGTTCGCATGTTAACTGGTTCCTACCAATGACTACAGCGGCAAAATTCATGCAATATTTTCTGCTCACGTTTACAGCTTCGGAGACACAACCAGTTGGTCAAGTCTGAAAACACCCTCCAGGTGACACCACAATATTCTTGAGCAATGCTCTGCTTCGGCCTCCCAAAATAGGTACCCAGAAGCGCAATTCCCGCTTTCAGAGACTGCGAAAACTCAGAGTCCCAGAAGCCACAAACTCCAAACCCAAACAACCGGAAATCACAGAGAAGAGCCCAAAAAGACTACCCGGTGGAAGTCTGCGCTGCAGCGGAGGATGGCGTAGAGAACAGACCTCCACCACCAGCTCCAAACGGCGTCGACCCCATGGCCGCCCCACTGGACTGCGCCGGGGTGCCAAACAATGACATCGCTCACGGCCTTTCCCCCCTCGCGTAGTGACGACAGAGCTACTACTTCCTCCTCTTCCTGACAATAAACCAGGATTCAAACCAGCATGAATGACCTCGGCAATGCCTTACAGAGGTTTAGGGTTTAAACCCATGGGTGAGGCATGATGCTGTAACAAAGCCAGAGAGAGTATTTTGATTTCACGGGATTGTAGCAACAGCTACTGGTCGTGGGATTCACAAAAATGAGGGCGTCCACGCGTGCGTCGATCGTTGGGCTTGCGCGCGGGGTCACCACGCCCCGCATGGCAAAGTCCGCCACAGCTTCACCACGCGGGCTCCGCAGCGCACACCGCCACAGACCCCCATCCCATTCCCCTCGGGAACGCAAGCATGCAAGCAAGGGAACGAGAGTTCCCGTGCGATCCCGACGGGGATGGATATACTGTCCCGTTGCTCAGGATTGCGAATCTTACGGTAATCATAAATTAGTTCGCCAAATTTGAAAGATATTGCTTTCTTTATGCTAAATATTTCTTGAAAAATATGTTACATTCTCCCACGAATATTTTTTTTTTTTTTTTTTTTTTTTTTTGTTCGGGTGACAAAATGATTCTTTGTGTGTATGAATGTGGATTGGGAAAGTTTTCTTTTTGTATACTATCAGTTTTTGAACATTTGAAATCAGGTGTCAAGATTCTTAAAACTTTTTCATGGGATGTGACGTTGAAATTAATTTATGTAAATAAGTCATAACCGTTAGTATAGCAATTAAGAAAAAAAAAATCTATTTTGAGAAAATAGGTTTTGTTTGTCTAATTTTGAAAAAAAAAAATGGATATTAAAATAATCTTTATATTTTGAAATAATTGAGTAAATTATATTATTTCTTTGAAAAAAATTATATATTATTTCATTCTAACAATTTTAACCTTAATTTATGATGTAATGACTATGTTATTTGTATTTTTATGAAATACGAATTATTTGAATGTCATGAACTTGATGTAATATGAAATCTCCTTAAGAAAATTAAATTTTAAATATTTTAAGCTTTTCAATTTCTCAATTTTTTATTATTTTGCTTACAAATGTCTTAACTTTTTAATTTTAAGATTATTCCTTTGTATTAATCCGCCTTTGTTCTTAATTATTTATCTTGCCAAATGATACTTCCTTATTCCTCTTATAGTATAGCATTGTTACTTTTTATGTGACTATTTATTCCAATAAAATTGCAAATCTAAGTAATAAAATATCTTTTCAAGAATATCTCTAATTTTTATTTGTACACTTCAAGCAATATGCTACCTAATTTTTCATATTATATATGAATTTATATATATATGAATATATATATATATATATGAATATATATATGAATTTCTATAGCTACAAAGAAGAATCTTATTTCTAGATTTACAAAATGTATACATATTTTTTATTATAGGTACTTGAACCATTTAACTAATCTTTTTAATTATATTTAATATTAGTTTATTTTGTATGCTTTGCACAATAACTAAAGTCATTCTTTACTTTGTGGATATATTCATTGTTGTACAAAGTAATGTCACCACATTAAATCACCTTAAATAAACTTCTATTCTATTTGTGTTTGAATCTTTGTTTTGTAAATTACCTTATGTTTGTCCATTGCCATGAAAATATGAATTTTTTTTTGTTCAACTACAATATTAAAAAGTAAAAACAAAAAACCCAACACTTAAATTGGCCAATAAATTTGTATTGTCATAAATTCAACTTGCATCTCTTAATTTTAAGATTCTATATTATAATGTAATATTCAATAGAAAATTTGAATATTAAGTATACGTGAATTTGTCTTTTATTTATTCTAAAGAGAATAACAAGCACAACTATATTCAACCAACATGAAAACTATAACAAAAATATTACTCTTGAAACAAAGTAGCCTTAAATAAGCAAGTCCAGTCACATACCGTGAACTCCATAGATAGTAGTAGATCACCTTTGTCTTGTATCATAGCTCTAATACAAAGTGCTCTACAAATACTGCATCAAAGTGCAACAATCTACATGTAGTGTTCAAACATCCAGAATCAAGTCAAAGTTGTTGACATCTTTTTTTCATGGTCGGATGTTGTTACAAGGTTGTTTACAATATACTACACTAATTGAAATAAAAAAATTAATAAGTTGTATATCAAAGATTGTAATGCTTTGGATATTGTTGTGCATTGATATGCATTAATTTTTTTCAACAAATCAGATAAAATAACCTTAAGTACATTTAATTTTGATTTTTTTAGTTTTTTTTTTTGCTTTGATGCATGAAAATAGAACTAAATTGTGAAGAGTTTTTAAAATATTTGAGTAACAATTCATTTATGCTACAAGGATGTTATAAAAGAAGATGATAATGATAGTAGCATTTATTTGCATCTATTGAACCATCTTCTTTATATTACATGGTGAGGTCTTTAGATCATTTAATTACAAAGAAATTGTTTATTTTGTATTATATACAAGAAATATATTAATATTGATTAAATCTATTGAGCAATTTAGTATAAAATAAATATATATATTGAAAGTCCTAACTAAGAGTTTTTTTTTGGAGGAATTGAATTGCTTATAGAATTCATATTAGAATAACTCATCAAAGCTCTTGAGGTATTTTTTCTTTTGCATTTCTTACAATCATATTTTTAAATTTTTCATATTATTAATAATTGACTATAATATGTTTTTTTTTTTTAATTAAAAGTCTATAAGTTTATTATATTTAAAAGTTTTTATTCTATTGTGAGTATTTTGATAAAATTATAGATTATTAGTATACTATTATTAATGTAAGTAGGATATTATTATTAATGCGAGTAGAATACTATTATATTGATAATACATGCCAATTACATATTTCATGATTTTTTCTAAAATCACTTTTAAGAATTAATATAATTTAGAATTAAAATCAGGTGGTTGCTTAGGGACATCTTGTGGATATTCTAGGAATTATTAATCCATGCTACTAATTTCTAAACTTCATGTTGTCATATATTGTAAGGTTTGCTTGAGAATGCATAGGGTACCTGGCTATAGAAGATAAATGGAATTTGCAACAATAAGGTCCTAAAAACTGTTATAGAATCCTGAAACAATTCTAATTAAATCTTTTAAATATTAATTAATCATTAATAAAATCCTAAAGAAGTCTTTAAAAATTTACAAAAGAAACATAAAAAAATTATAAATTAACCTTTAAAAAATATGTATAATAAATGAAGCCTAAAGAAATAATAAAATATAAATTCTAAAAAAATATAAAAACTATTTTAAACTATTAAAAATAAAATTATAAATTTATTAAAAAAAATTCAAGAGATTTTTTAAAAATTCAAATCATTATTGGTGATTTTTGTATAAATGTGTTTGAAAGAGCTGAAAAATATTTGTTTCAAATTGTACATAAAGGAGAAGCCTTGATTAAAGAGTATTACCAAGATGATTGGTTGAAGATTGTAATAATACAAATTAATAATAAAGAAGCCTTTAGAGAATTTCTTATAGACTTCAATTGTTGGTTTGATACCACTTGTAACATCTTTCAATATCATTACATTGATTGAAGTTAAGAGATTGTTAAAACTAAAAAGCAAACCACATTTTTTCCAATATACATTGGTGAAGTTGATCAAGACTTATTTTTCTTTGTATGAGAGAATTGATGGAATTATATTACAACAACTATGTATAAGTGAAGATGTTGAATTAATATATTATCTTATAGGATAGATAAGGGGTATTCAAAAGACTCAAGGAAAAAAATTAGATATTATTATTTACTTTGATAAGTATTATCATCCTAAATATGAAAGACCACATGTTTTATTATATGAAAATAATCAAGTGTGGGTATATCCAACTAAATAGGTGAATTTAGTGAATGCAACAAAAGTTATTCCTATTTATAATAATTATCAAGAATTGAAATAATATCTTTTTTAAAAGAAGTTGGCATTTTAAATGGATTATGTATTAGGGACATAATCCTTAGAACCTTCTAGAGACAAGTTTCTAGAACCTTCTAGAAGCAAGTCTCTGGAACCTTTTAGAAGCTTTCTAGTTGGTAGAAGTTGCTTGAGAAGCTTCCTAAATAGAAGTATATATTGGAATCGAGGCGAAAGAGTTCTACAGTCTCGACAACACATCTCTTAGAGCTCTAGCTCACCTCTCTGGTGTTATTCTCATCTGATTAATCTAGTTCTTGTCAGTTCTTCTTGAACTTCTTGTTAGATCTCGAGTCTATATTTCTGTGTCCGTGACAGTTTGTCAAGACTTCATTCACCTCAGATATCAGAGCTAGTTTTTTCTTTGTTAGAGTGTGGATTACCCCTCTGCTTGGAAGTATATTAGCATTTTAGAGGTTGCGGATTACCCTCCTCTAAACTGATACTTCTTTTGTTACAATATTGGAGCCTTATTCTTCTTGGAGAGAGTGGATTACCCCTTTTCTTGAAGCTCTTAAGGCATTTTAGAGGTTGTGGAGTACCCTCCTCTAAACCAATATTGTCTTCTTGTAGAGTCATTTCTGTCCTTCTCTTAGAATGGCCGGAGGCCAAGACATTAGTATGACGAAAAGTTCGGAGTCCAAGTTGAATGCTATCATGAATGCCTTCGCTATGTTATCGCAAAGAACTGCAGAGATTGAAGGAGTTGTGGCAAGGCTTCATAATGATGGAGCATTTGGGATGGCACAATCTAGGTTGCACCAGCCTCAAACTTCTGCACTTGGAGAAGCAACTTTGCCTCATGTTCGACAAGCACCATTGGTTCTACAACATAAAGAGCCCCGAGTTAGCCTTCCGGACAAGTTTGATGGTACGCGTTTCAAGTTTTCAGGATTCATCAACCAAATCAGGTTGATAACAGTTTTACAGCCCGAATGCTATCCAACGGAGGAGTCACGTGTTGGGCTTGTTGGAACCTTACTTACAGGATAAACTCTATCATAGTTTGCTCTTTTGTTTGAGAAACGATCGTCCATACTAAACAACTTTGAAACCTTTTTGGAGGCGTTTGCAGAAGCATTTGGTGAATACGACAAGGTTCGATGGGTTACAACAAAGATCCGGTCACTACGACAAGGGATGCACTCTACATCAGTCTATGCATCGGACTTCAAGCAATTAGCATGCGACATCAATTGGGACGAAGAAGGGTTGATGAGTCAATTCTATTGGGATTTAAGGGACGATGTGAAGGATTTGCTGTTAACTCTTCCTGATCCACAAACGCTCAACAAAGCTATTAGCCA